TAATGCTGTCTCTTCATCAGTCCCCAGAATAAAATGCGATTGTAAAACATAGTCAGCATAGTTATCAATAAACAATAAATGCACATGATGTGTTAATAATCACTAGAAATTGCTGAAAATATTCTGAAACCTACTTAAACTTAAACTATTGTCTATCCTACTTAAACCCATTCAAACATATTGACAGCGCGGAGTTGTTTGGAACTATTGAGAGCTCCATGAATCACGCGTGTATTTACTAATAGTATAGTGTAGAATAGCCACACCCACAGTTAAATCTCATTGGTCCAAATTTCTACTTTTCATAACTGTACATTAAATATTAAATGTCATCCGATTAGGTGTGAATTTGCCACAGGCAAACTGCTTTTTGCTGGAAATTTGTCATATTGTGCTTATTGCTATTAGAAGACTGAACATTTCTTTATCATCACATACTGGGAAACTGCACTTTCCATATTAAATACTGTTGTAAATGGAAACATCTTGTTTCTTGAAAGTTCCTTTCAAGTCTTCAGATATTCTCAGAGAGAGAGAGTGAACACCAATGGGCCACTGAACCCCATGTGAAGAGGACCTGTTTCAAGAAAAGGTCATGTAAAGGAATGTGGCCCCTTGTGGGGTCAGAGTTTAAAAGTCAGCCTTCATTCTTTTAATGGTGCAGTCCATTGGTTTACATTGTTCTTAGTGCAGAGCAGAACTAAAAACAACCCAACACGTTCTTTCTCTTTGTCTTCTGTTGCTCAGTGGGAACCAAAACAAGAGACTTGTTTAAATTAAGAAACAGTGTTCCTCAAGCTTTTGAAATCTGTGGAGAACCACTAATTTAGAGCACAGTTGTCTTTGTTAGTGCCACTCTATCAAATCTTTCATACTGTATTCAACGAGCAGCAGTAGTGTGAAAATCATGCATGTTCTTGCTCTCCTTTTATCACTTCAGACCAGGTGGCTTTGTGGAACTGCAGACTAATTAAAATTATGTAAATGAAGTAATCCACTGAGTCAAATTCTCAGCCACTAACTACTAATCATTATGATTCTTATGTAATTATGTATTTTGCTACAGGTAAATGACATAGCAGGCAAGGGAACATGAAGGTTTGAATGTAATGATTTTAATGTTTCTTGATGTGATCTGATTGAGTATTGTTTTTAAGTTTTATGTATGTTGTTTTGGATCATTTTAATATTATATGTGTGTGCACATGCATTTGCTTGAATGGCAGTTTGAATGTAAAAAAATCTGCCATGCCAATAAAGCGTACACTAAACTTGTAAAAAAAAAAGAGAGAGAGAGATTTTTGCAGACACATTGCTATTGCATGGAGATCCAAAGCCTGAATTTTCAGCTTAAAAATACTGACCACTATGCCGCAGCTTTTTGTTACTGCTAATGAGTCTGGAATCTCTCCCGCTGTTTAATGGGGCTAGAAAAATACCGTACTTGTGCACGTTCCTCGGTCTAACCCTGGCCACACATACTAAATTACAGCTTGGGCTGGTGTGCACATGTGTATGGACTTAGCAAGATGATAAACTAGCACAGACATTGAATTCAGCATCACTAAAGAAGAGCACAACATGTGTAAGACATGTAAATATACCGCTTATTTCCAATGTATGCAGTACTGATACATTATTCTAAACTCTCAGCCATGTTGGCTACGGTCATGAAATTTTCATATGAAACAGTCGAAATGCAAAGCGTGTAGCTCATCTATTCCAGTTTCTGTGCTCTGCAGGCATCGGCAGCAGCAGGAGGAGAAACTGCGAGCTGTGGTGATGCTCCTTTCATCTCCTCTGGCTGTGGATCAAGCAGTGTGTGCTGCCCCCACCCGCACTCACTCCTCCTCTTCCCCCTTTCTCCCTTCATCCTCCACCCAGCTCCTGTCTGGAGAAGGCACTGATGCAGAATCCCAGCGGATTTCATTCATCAGCAGCATATACCCGGTTTTTAACCCTCATGTTTGTTGAGATTGACTTTACTGTTTTTTATTTTGTATTTCTTTCTTTCTTTATTTTTTGTTTATGTTTAAGGTCCCAAAGAGGAATCCATATACACTCTAAAAAATGCTGGGTTGAACCAATGTTGGGTCAAATATGGACTAACCCAACTGTTGGGTTAAATTTTGGTTACATTTTTAAATTAACTTTTTAACCCAACAGTTGGGGAAGTCCATATTTGACCCAACATTGGGTTGAAACAACCCAGCATTTTTTAGAGTGTACATTTAAACATTCAAATATAAGGTATTAATATATAGATGAATATATATATATACTGTGTACATTTAATATACATTTTTTTCTTTCTTTTTTTTTACGTTCCTTAATATACAAATAAGATGTAAACCTCTGTTGCATTTTCAGAAAGGTCACTATTGTCCAGAAGAGATATTAAAGATATATCACAAATATATAACTGACTGGACTAATATGACTGTTGACAGTTTTGTTAATAAAAGTGAAGTGGCAAATGTTATATGTAATATGACTCCACATCTGGCTAAGCAGCAAATATTCTCACAACCACATTAAAATGGGAACCATCTCAGCTGATCTCATTCATTATCTCTTTGAAGCACTTTAGTCAATTTACTGAAACTCAATGAAGCCCTGTTACTCTGTATTGGTAACTGGGGAAAATCTTATATTTAGACACATACTTGTCGAGATTAAAGAGGACAGCTTTTAATTTGACTCAGCTGAAGGCCTTTTTAGATTGCAGTTAAAGGGGTTCTTAATTCAGGGCAATTAATCTAAGACTGGGGCGTAATAAATCAGTAAATACAAAGATACCAAAGAGACCAGATGAAATTTTACAGTGGTGGGTTTATTAAGCGCAAGTAAAAATAGAGTCAAAATGACATTCTATTGTGAAATTATTGTAAATATCTATGCAATAGATAATGTATATCTATGTGGTTCTATATATATAAAGCAAGCCAAACTCTCTAAAAACATTACAGATTATCAATGTACAAAACTGCATTAAAAACACAAGCTTTATTTAATAAGAAGATATAAGTATGAAAGAACTGGATATCACCCTGCACAGCGGACTGAGGCTGATATTATCCATCCCTTAAATTCCAGCTCAGTTTGCCAGGTTTTCCAAATCACACCATGCTTATATAACGCAACTGTTAAAATATTTATTAATATCTATTCTAATTAATCCTCACTCTCTCTCATTAGAATTAATTAGACAAAAAACATTTTAAAAAGATTTTAATGACACTAATTCATATTAGATAATGTGGCACAATGATTCATTAGAAAAAATAGACATTTTGGACATAATTCCTATCATTATTTTGAGAGAAACCATAATAAGGAACCTGCTGGCTGCTTTCATCCAGCAGAACCAATGCATCTTCAGTTGCCCAAAATGAATGTGTTCTCAACCTCAACCACAGGTCAGACCACATTATTATGCATCTTAGCTTTAAATTACATAAAATATATAGTGTTTCACAAGTCCATTACACATAGAAAATCACTCAAAGCACAAAACCATTCATTCCCTTACACTTGGAGTTCACCTCACCATTCTCAATATAGGCTCTCTTACCACACTGTTCAGCTGACATATTTGCCATTTTACTTATTTGGGAGGCCAGTGCTTTTCTGAGGTTGGCATGCATACATCTCAGTAATGCCCCCACAAACCACACAGTCTGTCATGCTCCTGTCCTGCTATAGCTGAGGCACTGCATTTTTGAAAAACATGCACATTTTGCAATAACATGCAGATTCTTAAGCAAACTATAGGCCACATCTTGCCTATATCATGCTGTTTTGGGTCTGGAAAACCTTAAACCCCTTTTGATAGCTCACTTGCATACTTCATTTTGAAATATCTGGTTGATACTTTAATTTTATGAAACTGAGTATAAAAGTTTTCTAAATCTGTTTGAGTGTCTTAAAAATGTTAATTTCAGTATGCTGTTCTCAGATTGATACACTCTAAAAAATGCTGGGTTATTTCAACCCAACTTTGGGTCAAATATGGACTAACCCAACTGTTGGGTTAAATTTTTACATTACATTTTTAACCCAAAAGTTGGGTTAGTCCAAATTTGACCCAAAGTTGGGTTGAAACAACCCAGCATTTTTTAGAGTGTATACACCTGAGTCAGATAATAAACATTCATTCATTATTCATTCATTCATTTAGATTATTCATTATTCACTCATTAATTCATTTAGATATTTAGATATAATTTTAAAATATTCCATATTCTGCTAATGCTAACTGCAAACATTATTTACAATGTGTTCTAGCAGAATGTTTCTTGTGTTATGATATATTGTGTATTATTTACAGCTACTTTAGTATTTTATGGTGATTTGATTTTATATGTAAACCCTAACCATTTAGATTATGAATCTATTTCAACAAATGATGTTCTGTGTTTATTAGAAAAAAAAGTTAAAAAATAAAAATTCTTAAAATGAGTTGGTCCAAATATTGCCCCTTCATCACTGACACAATGTAGCAATAGACATTTTTCAGTCATTTCTTTGAATTTTTAGCCATTGTTTTATTTTATTTTTTTAAGTTTATCGTTCATTCTATTTTTTCTACAGGATGTTCTTGATATCAGATTGACCCCAAACACAAATGGCATTACTTTTCTACAATCTTCTTTAATAAAGTAACATAAAAATCATCTTTTTGAAAAGTGCATGTTTACTTTGTGTTAAACAGGGTTAAACCTTAATAAGATATGCCTACTCAGTTTGAACTTAGTACAGGAAAATTTGTAGGCAAAATAGGTTTTGAATTTTGAAAGTACTTCAAGCGAACAAAACAGGGGCCTCTGGGACCCCAAACAGCAAGGGAGTCCGTCTCAACATTACAGGGTTAAATCCAAATCCAGCTGCTCTGCAGAATCCATTACGGTGTTTGGGTGGCGCGCCTCCTGCTTTTCACTCCTATTGTGATGCTTCGGCTCACACACACACACACACACACACACACACACACACACACACACACTTTACCCAGCGCCAACAGACAAATAACTAATGCTGCCCTCTTTACCAGCGTTTGAGTTTTTCAAACTATGCCTTGATGCAATCTAGCAACCCCGCAGGAGTTCGGAAAGTGGGAGAAGTGAAAAGGGAAAGTTGGGAAGTAATCGGTGAAGTTTTTCGCTATTGCCGTGCAGGAGCGCATCGAGCCGTAATGGCGCGTCGTGCGCGGACAGGATCTCGATTCTCTCTCGCGGCGTGGACCAAACACTCCCGATCACACTGGAATAACCTGGAGATTTCAAAGTGGAGCCTAGTCGCCCTGTTGCTGGTTGTTTGTGGTGGATTTTGTGGTGCGGATAGTGAGTTCTCGATCCTGGAAGAGGCTCAAGTTTTGGCAGTGCAGATGAAGAAGCTGTCTACTCAGGAGCTGGGTGTTCTCACCATGCAGGTAATAAAACACACTTCTCAAACTTTAGCTTGGGGTTTTAATGCACTTTTCTACATTTATAATCTGTAATGTTTTAAGAGAGTTTGGCTTGCTTTATTTATCTTGAATAAAGTGTGAAATAAAGTGCACGTTATTTAGGATAGATGCAATTCCTGTATACTGCCATATACTAGTGTGCATTTCTTACCTTCGTGCTTATTTTACATAGTTTGCATTGTTTATAAAATATAAAAGCGGTTCATTCCAGAGTTATTTGGACTTTTAAAAACATGTTCAGTAATGACAGCCTTTACAATTGCACGTTTATTGATAGTCATACTTGAGTGCATTCATGTGATATGAATGCACAGATTTAAAACTGCATTTGAAAGATTTGTTTACTTTTCTTCGTGTCATTATTTTCCGAATCAAAAACATCTGCAGTTGTTTGTTAGTTTCTCCAGTTAATGTATGAACATATCTGCATTTTATAAATAGACAGTGTGTAGCCTAGCTACATTTATTTCCCCAACTTGTTATTAGTTTACAAAATTCTTCTAGTTTTAAAAATAGAAGTGTATGTCTCATTTACAACTGCAGCTTTTTATATTAATGTGGGGTAATTTGGTTCATTTTATAAGCAAATAATTTTTAAATATCTAACCGTGTGTTTTTGTAAATACAGACCATTAAATGCACTATACAATGATTTGGCGCCACCAGAATCAGGCAGATTATGTATACACCGTGGTGTGTGTGAAATTCATGCCAATTGCACACCAATTATATGTTTTATGCGATAACCCTCCATCGTAAAGTTTCAAGCTCGATATACGGATATTATAAAGCAGAAACATCTTCCTTTGACAATCCCCATGAATTACGAATACAATTAAAAGTGTGTTTTCGCAACAAATGGTACATTTTGTTTGTGGCGCTGTGATGTGTTGGTGTAAACGCGCGCACAGAGGTGGGCAGTAGGGGGCCAGACCCAAATGGCCTTTCATCTGTGCCACACTATACTGCTGTCCTAGCTCCTCCTTTTTTCTTTGTCACACTCAGATGTTAATAATCTCGTTCTCTCTCTCTGTGTCACACACACTATTTTCCCCCTCTCTCTCTCCCAACTCCCTTTGGACTTATAAGTGGTTGTAAATCAAATGAATGAATTACTCATGCAGCCACATTTACAAATTGGCAACCTCCACCGAATATCTGTTGTTGAGATCAATTTTTCTTCTCTTGCATTGAGCCATGTATTTAGCTAGAGTCATTTCCCACAAACTAGACTATCTGCTTCCAGTTTAAATATTCCTGTGCCCATAAAAACATATCTGACCTCATGTGTCTACGAACTCTTTTACACCTGCATCCTAGCTTTGATTCAAGGCCTACACCAGTTTTTGATGTATCTTTTTTTAAAGTAGTTATTTTTATTGTAGTTATTTCTGTGACAAAACAAAATGTCACTGTTTAAGATGTCATGATTTTTTTTCATTCAAATATGAATATTTATCTATCATGCATTACAACTGAGCACAGTTTAATAAAAAAAATATATATTTTAGGTGTTGTTTAATAAATAATAAAATTCTTATGTTATTTAAGCTATCAATTCCTTAAGATGGGTTGCTCACATAAATACTCAGTACCACCAGTTAAGTGTACTGAGGGTTGTAAATGTCATTTCGTCTTAGGTATATTTGCTTTTTTATTTGCAATATTTCACTTCAGGCTTCTCTGAGCTCCCTCTGTTTGTCCATCAGACTGGTGGCTGTGGTTTAAGTTGAGGCTGTTTTAACTGAGGCCTCCTAATTGAATAATGATGGTAATTTGGAATCAGTGTGTGTAAAAAGTAATAGAGACGGGCTAGAGGATTGATTATGCAGACTCGGCTGGTCCTCTGGTGCTTGTCATGTCTTATTTTCAGTATCTTCCCACGTCAATAAACAATCAGTATAAAATCTAATAGCTTATTGTCATTGTGATATGATTGTAGTTGAAAAATTGTGCTGCTGTTATAGGAAAATCCCAAAACTTTTAGATGCACTTGAAATTTAAAGGGATATGCAAAATTTTAAATTCTCATCCTCATTATTCCAAACCTGTATGTCTGTCTTCAGAAGAACGCATGTCACGAAGAACATTTAGAAGTTTTTGTCTATGCAATAAAAGTCAATTGGATCCAGAACAATATTGGACCCCATTTACTTTCATTGTATCAAAATAATAATAATAATAATAATCTGCATATCATATAGTGATTTTTGCTCCACAGACTGGTCTTGTAAGCAGTCTTTGTGCTGGGTTCATCAATGGGAATTAGTCCTGGTTTGAAGTACTTTTCATAGTCTCTGGGTGGGATGATCTCTTATGAAATAGCCCATTGAGACAGAGCCATTGCAAATTACCCATCCAGTTAACGACAGTCCATCCATCAGCTCACGGCCACTGAGGCCCCTTCAAAGAAGTCCAGTCTGATAGGCCACCCCCACCTTACTGCCGATCTGGTCACTAATCTACAGGTTCTTGTGATCTAATTCAGTTACAGTGGATGAGTGTGTAACAGTAGGTTGTTTGTGAGCTTTCTCGTGAGGGCAAGTCTTTTCAGTCATGCTTAATAAGCTCTGGAGTATTTGTTGTGTTGACTGTCCACTACACTGTGACTGTGACCTTTGGAACTGCTTCCTGCTTAAGTGCACATGCTCGTCTGAGAGAAACAGCCACTGGTCTTGATCAGAAGAACCGCGACCTACCATTAGGTTCTGTGGATTGTGTATAATTAGTTTTCTTTGAAATTAGTTGAAGATTATTTTGATGACTCCACCTTGCCAAAACAAAAACGTGTTGTGGCAGTACCATTGTGTAGTGATTATCAGATGGTATTTCTCTGGTATTAACATGGTATATTAACATGATTCTTCAAAGAATACTGTAGGATTACCATAATATCTGAAACACCATGACATTAGCATGGTATATCTAACAAAAACAAACAAAAATTAGTAATACAATAGTAATGTTTGGTTCTTTTATTTTTCCTTATTGTTGGCCTTATGCTGAAATTGGTGTCATAGACTAATTTTCTGATTAAATCCAAATTTTATTTATCAGTAATTAATTACCAGTTACATATGACATATTATTGATGCAGTGGGTTTGTAAGAAGCCTAAATTTATTTGATAAAAAAAGACAGTAAAACATTAATATTGTGAAATATTGTTGAATATAAGAATATCATTGATGAATAGAAAGTTTGCATTCATTTGAAATAATATTTTGTAACATTCTAAATGTCTTTACTGTCACTTTCTATGTAATATATCCATGCACAATAAATTATTAATTCGTTTTGTAAAAAAAATAAAAATCTTGCTGACCCCAGACTTTTGAACTGTAGCATATATTTATGGTTTTGGGTTAATGACAGTGTCACCTATAAAGAAAAAAGGGGGGGAAAGATCTTTTAAAAATTCAGTTTAAAACACATGCGCCAAATTCTTAGAAATATACTTTTTGTATTCATGTTTTATATGGTTTTAAAGGGGTCATATGATGCGATTTAAATTTTTCCTTACTTCAGTCTGTGTGCATTGAATTTATTTAATACACGAGTTTCACAATTTGAGTTGAATTACTGAAATAAATGAACTTTTCCACGACATTCTAATTTATTGAGATGCACCTGTATAATCAAGTCTAATAAATATTTTCAAAAAAGGTTTGTTTAATTACTCATAAAATATCATAAATATGAATGTATCTTTAAGCTTTTGGAGAGTCGCACCACATGACATTTTACTTTCTTCGTTATGAAATCAATACAATTGTAGAGTTATAGTACAACAACTAAATTTGATGTGTGTTGCTTATGTGTTTAGGTTTTTGACTTCACTGCTCACTCTCACCCACAAAAATTCATAGTCTAATGCAAATTTCTTAGATTCCCAAATTGGTTTGCCCAACATTAGCAGTCAGTGAGTTAAAAGCAATTTCTGTCCTCCTCCTCCAGCTGTTTGATTTCAAATAGTGACGACAGCAGCAGAAGATTCCCTCTTTCGGTTTCCATGTGCACATGTTGCTCCTCCCCCCCCCCATATCTTTTCTGCTTTATGTTTCATTCTACTGTCCCTGTACTTTTGTCCCCTCACCGAATTTCAGTGTCCTGTTGAAACCACTCCCAGACTCAAGTTAACAATCTAAAGCGAGCGCTCCTCACTGTCCATCACAGCAAAACATTTGTATGCTTTAATTGTGCTTTCGGCGAGGGAAAAAAAAGGCCACCCTGGCGGTCCTTTCGTCGGGTATCTCCATGGTAAAGTAAACCTCATCGAAGCCATTGTGGCATATTTTTCATTCACTCGAAACTTCACCAAGAGGGCTTCTCATTGCACGGCTAGGATGCGCCTGTTATTGAACGACCTAGTTAGAAAGTCTGCTGTGTGGAAGCTTTTGAGAGGAGGTCTTTCATTCACAATCTCCCAGAGGCAAACCCCCCACCCTTTCTTTTGGAGAAGAGTCTGCCTTCTGTAGTGCCTTTATTAACCAGGAGCTGTAATTAACTGGCCTTATTTAATCAGTTTGGGCTCTTTCTCTCACACACACGTAGGGAAGAATAGAAGCTTCATGGGAACTGGCCTTTGTGCAGCGCTCAAAAGCTGCTTTCAGTAAGTTCCTACAGGGTCGACCTGGGATGGGACATCGGGCCTTATCATAGAGTCTTCAATAGGGAGGTCTTCACACACCCTACCCTATCCCAAGGGGGATGGGGTTGGGAGACCAGGGGCCCCACAGCGCTCTTAGAAGTGTGTCTCTGTTGGTGTTTGTTGGATGACTATGCGGGGAGGCTTGGTGCTTGTTCTCTCTTCAACCTTTATGTTTTTTAAAACTGTGATCTCCTCCCCCCCTCATCTGATACGGCCTCACATTTACCATGAGAGACGAGAAGGGCCCTTACTGCATTCACGTCAGACTGTTTTTCATTTCTGCTTCTCTTCTTTTCAAACCGACAGCCCCCCTC